GTAAATGTACAAATTTAGCAGAGAAAGCACAAGGTGTTAAAATATCTCGGAGAAAAATAGATTATATATCCGATAATAATTCAGATTAATTTTCGGAATGTGGATTATTTTTGACGCAAACAGATAATGGTGCTTCGTAGTAGAGACTAAGTAATTAATTCCGATTTGTTTTTTTTTCTCGGTAAAAGATATAGTGTATAATAATATAACCAAAATGTTGTTTGTAAATTGCGCAGTCGAAAAATCTCCTATTGAAACATTAATTGATCCAGGCGCTAACGCAGATTTAATTACCCAAAAATTTATTAACGAGTTGGGTTTAGTACATCATGTAAATGAAACCAATCGCCTCAAATTACAAACTCCTGATGGATCATTTTCCGTACTAGGAAAGGTTGAACTGCAAACTAGTTTTAACGTTGATGGGAAGCACATAAGTACTGATCCCGTTGAATTCTTGGTTGTTGGACCAGATTGGCCTGGGCCTGATTTAGTGTTAGGAAACCCATGGTTGCAAAAAAATGGCGCAACGATTGATATGTGTAATAACAAACTTTCTATACATGATAATTTTGCAATCCCAATTTTCCAAAGCGGGTAATCGACATTCTACTAAAAATATCTATAATATATTTGCCCAATTACACTACGTAGAATACAATTATTATGTGATCACCAGATCTTCTCTGTTTTACGAATGAATAAGAGATATGAATTGTTGTTGTATAAAAACGATTTAGCTTTTTTTTTCAACATCGAATGAGGGCCTGTGCGTTGTATGAGGATGTACCAAAGTTTTCGATTTTACCTATCAGAATGAATGCACAAATAATTAGAATCGGCAAAGGTAACGGATCGCTCATAGAGAATAAATTAATCCCATTCATGATAAATGTTGTTCCGAAATTACTAATTTATTGATTTTTTGACTTGCGGAAATACTAGCCACTTCGCGACTATAAAATGGCTATAAAACACTACTTATTATTTGATAGAAATATTTGCATAATATTAACAGTATGGATATTACGTGCCTTAGAACTCTTGCTTTGAATATTCTCAAAAACGGCTATCCTGAAAGTATTGCAAGTAATATTGACATTCCCGAATTAGAACCATGCTCAATATGCAATGAAGAAATTTTTTTGCATATATTTAAAAAATCTTTCACCGTATTAACTTGTGGACATATTTTTCATCGTCTTTGCCTTGAGAACATTAGAGAAACTATAACCAAATGTCCTGTTAAAAATTGTGGTGCGGATATCGAAAGCATAGAAAAGTCACCGCAAATGCGAGAACCATCTCGAAGAAGTATGAGCATATATAAATCAGGTGATTCAGCATTCATCACTGCTTTTAGGAACGATCCATTACTTTCAGATACAATTGCGGAAGACTCACCCGATGATAATCAATTGCAAAACATGGAAACTGATATACCCAGAACATCGACTGCAAGTATTTTACCATCCAAGCGTGTTGGTGAACCTACATCTGCTGATAAACCCTCTAATAAAAAACCGAAAGTAGTTAATAGAGATGAATCATCAAAACTGAAAAAACTTATCGAAGAATTGGCTAATACACCAAGCCAAGTTTCATCCATACCCGCTTCCGATCCCGCTTCAACGATAAATACTCTTAATTTTTTACACTTATATCACGAAATTACCAAAGCTGAATCCCGAAATGAAAAAACGAAGCAAGAAGTGATTCAATGTTACTATAATTTTGGAGAACTCTTATCGCAACGTTTCTATTTTCATTATAGCCAAGTTAAGAATGACCAGATGGCTCAAGTGGAAGTTAATAAGGAAGCCAGAGAACAATTACCTACCAATATTTCGGAAGATGCTTTTAAGAAGAGAACAGAAAGAGCTCGAAAGGTTTACTTTCTTTTTAGTCAAGAACATATTGGAAAAGAAAAGATAGGGTTAGTGAATTCTTTTACGGCATTGTCTATTTCGAAGTTAAGTCTGGGTGATATCAAATATATAATAAATAAAACAAAACCTTCGTGAGAATAGTATTACTACGCCCATGACCTCGAGGTCATACCCGTGCCTAACTACGCCACATACAGACGAAATATTCTTATAGTAATAGTGGTTTTAATCAATATTAACGCAAAAATTAAAATATTTAGTGGTTTGCACATTTTTCGGACAATTATTTTAACAATGTATATGCGTCTCTATTGACTGTTTCAGAATTGCTTGTTGCGTGAGATACGATTGTCATAATCTTTTATCTTCCTCAATCCACTTTTTCAAGTATAAAAGTGTATACTTACCTTCAATAAATTCCCTGACTGTGCTTCTTCATAAAAATTGGAAGTTCATATATACATATATTTTACGGGATCGATCTTAAATGTGTAGAAAAGTAAAGAAGAAATTCAAATTTTGATAGTCTATCCGCATAATCGATCAGATAATTTAATTAATATGTTACACGATATCAATATGGGGCTGTGCAACGAAATTATTTTTAGGTTTTAATGCATGCATATTTATTTGTGTGATTAACCAAATTCGATTACCTCACATACATTTTCTTTGTGAGAGGAATCTTGGCGTAATTACATTTGCATTGCCCATCTTTTAGATCCAGAAGAAAACATGGAGGGGAAACGTTTAAAAGGGACAGTATATCGAATCATTAGATATTCATTGTTTTTACAGTGATTTTACTTCTTACATTAACAATACATTTTAAAAACTTCTTATTATGTCTAACTTAGTCGCAAAAATCGTAACTTTTTTGTTGGAAGAACCTTTGGATGCAGTTTGTTCCGCATCTGTCGTTTATTTGGCGATGGATAATAACACCTTGGGTTCATATAATGATGTTAAAGACTTAGCAGAGTGTGCAGTGAATTCAGCATTAGGAGAATTAAATGATTCAGATTCTGTTCGAAAAGAAAGAGTATCGGAGATTTTGCCACAGGTTAGTTATATGGATCAAATTTCCACTGGCTATGCTTGCAATGATGAGACTACAGCGTATTTTACCGAGTCGTTTAGTATGTCGTTGCTAAACGCTAGGGAACGCCGGCCCGGAAGAGCGATGTGTTCAGGAATTAATTCCTCAAGATGTCGAGGGTATCTGCTACCCCCTGGCTGTGCGTGGCTATTATAGCTAAACGATAATGCGTTATAGATAATTAAGAGATCGGATTATCTGATTAAGCACATGTGCAAATATTGCGTTGTTTATGGAAAAATGTGATCACAAATCTCACTTATTTATTAATGATTTTGCTGTAGATGAAGAATGGATATAAAAGTGTTGTAGGGTTAAAAGCAATGAAGGTATTGAAGAAAGCGAAAGAACCGGCCGTTGATCACGCTCAAGAAAAGATAGAACAAAATCTGAGAGCGTTGCAATCGAAACTTGGCTCTCCACAAGTATCAAACTCGGATACATCTCTCTATAATGCTCTCAAGAAAAACTTGAATGGTGTCGATTCTTCCGGACTTACATGGCAGGATCCGTTGGCAAGTATGGTTCTCAGTGATGATTCAACTTTGGTGGAGAATTTGAAACCAAGACAGAAACGCACTTTCATGGTAAATGTTTTTGCCCATCCCTGCTCTGGTTGTATGATGAGATGGAATGTTTTTTACATATTTTTCATTCGCTATTAGGAACCATGTGAGAATATGAAATGTGATATCCCTGCATCTGTTAACGACAAGTGCGAAGATTTTGCGAATAACTTTAATAAAAATGTCATCCCAGATGAACTTAGAAATATCACACACAATTCATTATGGGTAGAAAGCGAAATTGAGCTAGGGAAAAGAGTGGGACATATACTGGGCGTAATGTAAGCGTTTCCATTAAGCTTTTTTTTTACACATGCGAATATTTTTGGGTTAGCCTCTTAATTGATGTTTATTTAGTGGAGAAGTGTTGAATAATCCGGCATTTGCAACTAGTATGGCACGCAATGAACAAAGCGAGGGGACTTACGTTACGGATGTGATAGTACCATTACTTCGAGCCACTCTGGGAGGTCTCCCAAATGGTAGTATTTGCTTGAGCACTGCAGAACGCCAAAGTGTGGCAAGTAAGACTCGCAGAAGTCTCGGAGCGAATGAGAGGCGAATTGGAAAAAAGCCTGATATTATGTCATTGGTGGGGCATGTAGAGAAAACTTTCGAAATTGCATACGTCGAGTGTTCCAGAGTTGTCTGCACTAATTCAAAAAAAGTAGATGATCGTGTAAAACTATGGAGAGAAACGTTGGATGGGGTGGGCTTTGTTGCTGAATCGTGTAGACCAACAAGTAACCAATTCGGTATCGTGGGGATCCAAGTTGCAGGTAAGGATATATATCTGAATGTTCTGGTAAAAGATGCGAGTGGGATTCCAAGATACTTCCATCTCGATCACGCGGAAATCCCTCTAACAATGGACACTCTATGGCGGGTGAAACCTCTTATACGTTTATTATTGAGACTTCGGGTAAGGTGTATTGATTTTGTCTTTGATATGGATTCTTAGTTCTATCAACTAATCCCTTCGTTTTGTATCACAGAATATTATAATAGTAAATAAAAGTCTTTTAGTGCAGGCGTTAGAACAGGCTTCTACACACCCACCTCGGAATGTTCAACAAAGCACTATTATCTCTTCACCACCACATAATTACTAATCTTTATTTTTTAACGTACAGGTCAAGTAAAGTATACTTTTTCTCATTTCTTGTTTCAAAAAACTAACGATATATATGAAAAAATAAACCAATTAATTCCTATTCATATCGAGAATACCCGAATCGAGATTATTTACCTCTAGATATCTACTTACCTCTTCATAATCAAATACCTCCTTTACATCTTGTGTCTTCTTATTTATGATAGTTATATGGCCTTCATGAATAATGTGATCATATTTATCCTGGTTTTGAAATTGTAAATATTGCGTAGGATTTGTAGTGAATTTACCTTGAGTTTTACGTCGGTTGTTTCTAGATTTACGAGACATATTAACATATCTATATAAATAAATGACTTCAATTTTTTCTCGACATATATAAATTCACTTTTATAGTTTCATGTGTCATTAAACCCGTTGCATTTTTAGTTTTACTAAAGGTTTCGCTAAAAGTAATTGTAATTCATAATTAAAATAAGTCAATATGACCCGTTTTATTATTGATATATAAAAAATGTTACCAAAATAATAACATAAAATAAAATAATAAAAAATCATATCGCAGTTATATACTGCAGACGTAAAAATACATATCGTATTTTCATGATGCAAATCATTACTTTAAATATTTAGCCAATGATATAAACTCACTACTTTGCTCTTTCCGTTGTTTTAACTTAAAAATTCTCTTACCATCGACAGATAACTCGTAGCTATTTATCCAAGTTATGAGATAACTTTTTCTATTCTCAACGAGCACAGTTGTAATTTCATTTTTAGTCGCTACATTCATAAAAACTACATTTTTCAAATCGTCAATTGGAATATCATTTTTATCTACAAGAAAAACCCTCGCGATATCTTCATTTAACACTTCAATCTTTACTCGGATGTTCTTGTGTTCAGTATCAAAATCTTTTGTTTCCCCTTTCACATATAAAATTGTTTTTTCAGACATCGTGACTGCTAAGAAAAACAAAACTATTAATTAATACATGAAGTTGTAACTATATTTCTGACTCAAAAATTTGTAATGCGTACCTTAAAAAAAAAATCAATAAAATTAAAAATGATAACTCACAAATCCGGGTTTATTTATATTGTTCCATTTGCTAAACCTGAGAACCTACCAGAAGAAAAAATTGCATGATTGGTAATTACGTTGCCCCAACCATTTTCCAGATCCTTCCTTCACAAGGTAATTCTATTAAGACATATGCGTCAAGCGCTGAGTATATTTCGTCATCTATGGGGTAAATTAAGCTTTTCAAACTGCCGATCGCTTTTGTAGAATGAAAATAAGTCAAGTTTTGGCGATCTTCGGAGATGGTAAAGATCTCAAGTTCCATAACATATGAATTTGATATTATTACTGATAAAGAACAATAAACTCTCCTCCTTCATGGCCTTTTGAGTCTTATTCATAGTTGTTTTTATCGGAAAAACCATATACAACAAGAAAAAGGATTTATTATTAATATTATATATGTAGCGATAGAAAATAATTTTAGCGGTATCACAAAAAAAATCATTGTGAAACGATAGATATTATATGTTCTGGTTATTTTTCATTAAATATATGTTTACGTTTGTAATCTAATCCATATACATTACTTTTTGTGTTTTCATGCGTCATCGAGCTAATTTGGCTATTATTAGAAGTTCATAGAACGTGTAAGAGGTCAGTTGATATATTTGTGCGATTATATGCAGGGATATCAAAATTGGATTAACTACACATGGTTTAGATTCTTGTTAAAAATCATGCGTAGTTAATGTATATATATATATTTCGATTTTTCCCAAATATTATTACACATAAATTTTATATTACATTTACAATACAGATGAAAAAACGGTCTATGATACTTTATATCAAAACTGATTAATTATATATCCGAAGCTTTATTTCCTCAACTAGAATTTACACAAAAAATGAATCGGGTTTTAGATATGTATATACTTGATAAAAACAATGTCAAAAACCCTAAATCACTATACACTATAAATTATATAATAATATATAAAAACATTAAAAAACGTTAAAAACAATCAATTATGGATGTAGATAGATATTTTTATGGTCGTTGTACTCCTAAAGAATGGACTGAATATTGCTGGATGCCACAAGTTCGTACTGATGAAACTCCTGGAGATTGGAAATCGCGAATTTGGGCCCGCTTGATGTATTTTAGAAAAAATGATCTTTTTCCGGGTGAAAGCAAAAATTATCTAGAAGCTAGAATATCGAAAATATTATCAGATGGATCTTCGTATGCTCCTACAATAGGAATAGCAATCTGTTTCTCTTGTAACCAGCTAGTATATACCGGTCCAAGAACTAGTAATATTGGAAATTATGATCATGTAGGTATGGAGAAACATTGGAAATTCTCTTGTTCCGGAAATGAATTCTGCAATGTAAATTATGAAGAATATACAAAAATTAAACAAAAACCTAAATCTGCTCCTTATAATTTTGAAGATAACTATGCATTTCATCGTTATGGATTGTGGATGGAAAATGCAACTAGAAGACTTAAATGTGCAAGGGAGGTTGGAAGAAAGATTCGCGCTATAAATATCATAAAAGAAAAATGGATTGAATATATGTACCATCCCGACGGTTTAACGGCTAAAGAACTAGCTGAACATTATAAACTCTTACAGTCTGTTAGAGAAGAAATGCGTCAGGTTAGTAATGCATAATTATTGTGGATTTATTTTCATGATTTTTTTTAATTTCATAATTTTCATAATTTTCATAATTTTTATATACGGTGAATATTACATACATTAATTAAATAAACTATTACAATGCAAGCGAAATTTAATAAAAAGTATTCAGATTTAATCGAGAAACTACCACCCTCACTAGTGCACGAGGCTTGGAAACGTCTTATTTTCAGAAAGCGGGATCCAATACCAGAAGAAGAGGCTAGTGTTGTAAATCCATTAATAGAAGCATTTTTAAGACATGAAGTTAATAGGTACCAGAAAAAAATAAAATTCCAGCGACGAAGTTGGCCACTATTTGAAAATATATCAAACAATTATAAAAAAAGCATGGATAAAGAAACGCAAACTTTAGATATTATTCCGATTTGTAATCATGAAGAGGATATTAAAAATCAGGTTAATAAAGAAGTTGAAATTTTATGTCGGCAAATACTTAAATACAATCAAGATATATTTGGAAATTTTATGCAGAAATTGGATAAGGAATACGAAGAGCGGATCAATACAAATAAGAAATTACGCTCCGAAATCGAAGAAAAAAAATTAGAATTAGATGAAGCGGAAAAAACTCTCGCGTCTATGAAGGCGGATGCTACTCATTGAATTTCAAAACATGATCCCAACCTTTGCGTATATATAGAGGATCCTCCTTTGATCTGGTTAAATCAATTACTATAAATTCCCGGCCTTGCAAATTTTTATCGAGTATGTCAACAGCATTACGCCAGTTTTTTGTATATCGTCGGGCAATATTAACTAATTCATCATATGTACCTGCACCATTAAAAATAACGATATAATCCAAATTTTTTCTTATCAATCCTGGACAATCAAAAAAGCTTTGTGTTGTATATATATTACTAATATTATTATGACGCCCCTCAGTGAAATAACGAGCAATTTTTTCTTGTATTTTTTTAGGTTCGGTACATACATCTTCGAATAAAGCCAGTGTTCCTCTTTCTGGAGAAAAATCATCAACCTTTGGCATTTTATCAGGCTTCATTGCTCGAAATGTAATATCTTCACGATATGGTTTTGGACCATTTGCAATTATTTGATAACAATTTCGAAGGTATTTATATTTTGGCTCCTTAAGATGATGTCCGATTAAAACTAAATCATCGTTTTTAATATACCTCGTTCCACCTTTTTTTCCGCTAAACATTCGATACGGTTTATTTCCAAGCAAAATATTAACAATCATATAAGTTTTTCCTGATCTGGTTCGTCCAGATACTAGCATATTGAAAGGCCATTGGGGGGTTGAATTTAATCCATTAAATCTTTCTGGATTTTTGTATTCATCGATATCAACTAGAAATAATTCGCATCGATCAAGTTTTTCAGTTTTTTTGGGCTTTTGATGCTGAGCTTTCTTCATCTCGTTTAGTAAAATTGTGAATAATCTTTATATATCTATACCAGAAAAATTATTCTTTACGAGCTAAATATCCCTTTTCTTCCAATATATTTTTAATATAGGGAAACGGATCAGCCGTGTAGGGAATCTCAATAAGATCTATACCTTCTCTTTTACATAATTCTCTCTTTTTTCGATCACGTAGTTTTTGAGCTTGTAAATCGCTTTTCTGTTTATGAAACATTGTATTCTCAACATAATGATGGACTCCTTGGAATTCGAACGCCAATTTCAATTCTTCATTATATCCATCTAAGCGTAAACCATCTAGAAATTTTGGTGCACATGGTGGAAACTTTTTACCTAACATATCCTCAAAAATATATCGGCATTTGCGCTCTTGAATAGAATGCGGACAAAGTGGACACCATTCAAATTTTGTGGCAATTAAAGGATATGGATATTCCCATTGATGAATCCCGTTTTTACAAGTCCAGAGGAATATATCTTGACCATTGATTCGACCAGTTTTTTCGAGACAATATCCACCGCGTTTCTCAGCATATGCTTGGGTCTTATTTAACTTGTTATTTGAAACCTGTATAAAATGAACTAATCTATCATGTGGATATTCCGATAATATACTCTGGGGCGGTAGATCAGGCTCGCGGGTCAGATGCATGAGTTCTTCTCTCACAAATCCACGCTTTGGAGCAAATTCGCCATCGATATAATATAACACAGGTTCTTTTTTTGAAACTATGATTTTTCGAATTTTATGAATAGATGGCGAAAATGTTGGATCCGTGGCTCTTTTCTGATTCTCCATACCACCCTCCCATTCTCCGTTGGCAAGTAAGTAACGAACTGTATCACCTTTTTTTAACTTTATTTCATCTTTTCCAACTGGACGTTTATAACTCGTAGATGGTTTAGATTCCACTCGTTCCAATCTGATAGCTTCTATAGGGGGGAGTCCCCATTTTGATGAACCTGGAGCTCGAATGAGACGTGTCGGATAATTATTTAGGTAATCGATAACTTCTGGCAAATATTTAACCCACTTTCTTATTAATTTAGGGTTCGAAGATATACTTTCGACAGCATATTGGACTTTATATAGTATTCCTGCTAGAGTTTTATTGAAGCGTTCGACAAGGGCTAGTCCTCGATGACTATATGCTCCAATTACTCGAATTACTACTCCGTGTTCTTGCATTAATTGGCTTACTAATTTTTTGAATTCCGACCCGCCATCACATTGTAGAAGCTTCGGATAAGTGAGAGGATTCGATAGACTATCATAAATTTTCTTAAAGGCTTTAGCAACTTCGGAACTTTTCTTCGATGTGAGAGGAATACTCGCTTTGAACCTGCTAGACACGTCTATTATATTAAGCACCGCTATCCATTTTTTACCCTTATAATGATCGTGCGTAAGAAATAAGAGGTCACACTGATGTACACAATTCGGTTTTTGAATTTTACCATAACTAATTCGTGGAATATTTTTTGGTGATGGAGCGTATTTTTGCCATTCATTCTGATTATGTAACCATTCACGAACTTTTTTGAATGGAAATTGGTATCCTTCTTTCTTGAGATCTCTATATAATAATCGAGAATTGGAATGATAACCGGTTGTCTGGTAGTAAAGCAATCTACAGACCAGATCGATCTCCTCATCTGGATCGACTCTAATAATAGGTTTATTCATTTTCGCTATAAGTTAGCGTAAAAATTATCTCATTTTACAATGTAACT